AATGACATCCGCTGGATAAAATGTGATTTGGAGGTTTGTAACGAGGAAATGAGGGCGATAAGTAGAGGAAATAATGAGGGAGAGGGAGAGGAGAAGACAAGGAAAGGGAGTGGGGGAGAATGGAGGAATGAAAGACAAAGAGATAGAGAGGGATAGAAAAGGAAAGAGGGTGGGAAATAGAGAGGGGGAGATAAAGCTTGTGTGGGGGGGAATTAGAGAGAGAGAGAGAGGGGGGGGGTAGAAAAGGAAAGAAAGGATGGGGAGAGAGAGAAAGAGAGTAACCACAACAGGAAGAGACGTAAGAGGAAATAATTGTAAATGCTAATACATAATAAAGATATAAATAAGAAAGAAGGGATAAAAAAAACACACAAAAACATTAAATGGGAGAGAAAAATTAATTAACCACAAAAATAAATAAAATAAAACAATAATTACAAAAACACAGACACGATATTGAGGAATTTTATCTGTACAGGAGAATATTAATGAAGGTTTTTTTTTATTTATTTTTTCAATGCCAAGGCAAAAATTTTACATATATTTTTCTTTTTATCCAGAAATATCAAACAATATAATTAAATCTGAAGGTCAGATTATGGATTTTGTGTCACGGTATAAAAAAAAAAAGACCAACATATTAAATGACTTTCAATTTCAGTCTAAATTTCGTTATTGACCAAATTTATGTAAATAGATAATGTTGAATTTTTTTTGTGTGTATGTTTTTATACCAGTGTAAACGTAAAGCTATGATTAGAATGATAGTTTGACTAGTTTCATATATTTTTAACTTAGCTGTGTTAAATAATTCTGGGCTTGGAACGTTTGGGCGATAAGGTTGAAATACTCACTTTTTAACCAGGAAATAATGTCACAGGTTCCAAGTATCGTAACGCTCTCAACACCTCTAATGGTATAACATTGTATACAGTTTGTGAAATAATGTCAATATATCTTTCTTTTATATCTGAGACCGAGGAAATGATCGTGATATACCTGATACTGTACCTTGTGTAGTGTTGTAGGTAGCCAGGTAACTGACTGACTGACTATTCAGGTGTGTCCTAATCCAAGGCCAAGCTGATCTCACCATAAAGAATAGCGATAAGTGCGTGATTACTCTTATCAAATATTTTATTCCTTTTTAGAATATTGAAGAAAGATTTGTTTACTTCTAGAGCGATGTATATAAGTTTTGTGTTCCAGCTGTAGTAATCTCACACGGTCCACACACCAAAGCCTTGTATTCTTGGGTAATGTTAATTTGCGCTATTACACATGAGGAAAATAGTTTAGCTAACATGTGGTCCAGTAGCGATGCATCAAGACAAAAAAAAAATCTTATATTCGTATTCCACTTAATACAGGATTTACATAAATAAAATTACGAAATTGTAATTAATTTCACGTTCAAAAAAATTATGCTTGATATTAATACAATGTTAATTATAAGTTTCATTTCTAATTATAATTACCCCTTCAACTTAGGAGTGACAGAAACGCAAATCTGGTTAAAGTTCACATATGGTCATCTGTTTCACATCACACATACACACGGCCCTCCCACCACATGACACCGTGTACACATACCATAACGCTATCACTTACATAAGGCTCCTGCAACTACGGGAACGAGTCCTAACGAGCTAATTCAATAACTTCTAGCGTGATTTTAATATTTGTTATTGTATTGATTTAAGTGTTCAGTCATTTATAACCTTTTCGCCCTGATAACGAGAGAAAACATTGAACGAAAGAGTCACCGAACAAGTATAGTGAGCTTAACTTCTACACTACTGTTTTAGTCTTTGAAACTTAACTCCTGATCTGGAATGGTGAAGAGATATTTAACTGTCGTCCAACTCACTCACTCTGTTAACTACAGCAGCCAGTATAAAAGAATATTGAAGGACACTTTCAAGGCTAAATTATGCAATTAACTTTTTACTGCTGAAGAAAAGTTGTTTATTGTATTAACTTTTCTGCTATATCGTTTTATTTTTCTTTAGTGTTTAACGATGAATTTAAACGTAATGTGACAACAAGGAAAACACACACACGTACACACATATTTAAACACACACACACACACACACACACACACAGAGCACAACACAAAACTAAAGGGAAACGGAGAAGTTGCCAAGGCCAGAAGTCTCTGAGGAGTCCCTAGTATAATTACACATCAGACAATCTGTGTATAAATATCACATATTGCGTTGGTTATCACCCTCGAGCGGCCGACCAGGGAGAGTGTATGTGTAGCGGGGTGTAAAGCGGGCTGGGTGTATCCGCTACACTCTCACATAAGGGTGTATCCCCCCCCCCCCCACTATCTCTCCTATCATAGCTTAAATAACCTCGTAGTTTTAAGGACGAGTAGAATGTTGTTGTTTTGGATGTGTGTGTGTGTGTGTGTGTGTGTGTGTGTGTGTGTGTGTGTGTGGATTGCCTTGCCTTGGTTCTTCTCTAACTTACATTTGATAACTTCATGTGTTGAGAAAAAAAATGGACTTTATAAATTTATTTTAATAACTTGTCGAAAATGCCGTAGTTTATTGGGGTCTGTTGCTGCCTCGAATATTGGATATTGAGTGCAGGTAATTTGGGTCACTTTTCTTATTTATTTATATATTTTTTTTTATATAATTATTCAAAGGTGTATAAGCGTCTCATGGTGTAAAGCGTGTAAGAATCTTTATTTACTGCCTAGTTATATTTCTGTGTATTTTGTTTAAACACATACGCACATACATAAACACACACATACGCATAAGTTCATCTGAGAGGTCCCATAAATTTTCCTTTGAAGTTTCTTAATGTAGTTCCTCTGCCTATTAAAACTAATTTACACCTTGGACTATATAGCACCTGTGTTCAATTCCGTGTGTTTACTGCGTCATGTAACCTCCTTTAGGTCATAACATTGTCTTCATTCTCCGGCAGCGATATTTTGGCTATGTAACCTTAACCTTGTTCTTTTTTTTATTATTTTTAAAAGCATAATTATCCGCCTATCTTTAGCTGTGATATTTTTACTGTTTTACAAAGTTCATCGTATTTTAGGAAGAAAAATCCTCACTACTTTTACTTTCTTCTTTTACTATTTTTTTTATTAGATTTTCAGACATATTTTATTTTCCTAATTTTATTTTATTGGTTATTTTACAGTTTGTTTGCTACTGTCTATGCGGTCCTTAACCCATTATAGAGTGGTGTCGCTTTTTGGTATTTTTATACATGATAACGCCAGGTGATTTTATTTACCTGAGGGAAACTATTGAACTCTAAAGCGTTAAAACATTTCGCTACATATTTATTTATTCTGCTCAGGTCAGCTTCAGTAAAGTCCCGTAATGTAAATAATAATGTGTTGTTTAGTTTAATTCTGAATTAGGTTGAATATTTTCAGACTCTTATTCAAGTGAAGAGAATTTTCCCTTGTTTTGAAAAGAATTGATCATATTGTTTAAACTCAGTATCAATAAATGGTCTTCACTATATTATAATTTTCAGCAGCATGTAAGGTTTATTCTATTACCTGAGCGAAACTGTTTTAAAATATGGCGTTCAATTTCTGTTTATTTATAACCAAGAACATTATTTGTCACCGAGAATAATGACGTAATTCATAGTGATTCATAAATAAAAAAAGAAAAAAAAAGAAGGTAAACTACTTATTCAATGAGCAAGAGTGTGAGTTAATAGTATACACAAACTTACCCGGAAATCAGCCATTACTTCCTGCCTCCCCCCCAGCAGCTGAACCAAACAGCAGTAAACTCGCCTAGAACACCTCGCAGCTCGCCATCCAGAATCAGAACTGATGGTCGGGCTACCACTTACAGCAGCCATTTACCTCTCCCACTTCATTCTCATTTGCAAAACACCGACCACTTCCTCCTGCCGCGGCTATTGGAACTTCAGCGTCAATGTCCTCAACCTAACCTCCCCCAAGAACCCTCCTCCCCTCCCCTCTCCCCAACAGTGATGCCATAACCTGTCTCATGCCATGTTTACCAAATCAATGTTTTCAGAGGATAAACACTTGAGAGATTTAAGTTGATAGCATCGCATATATAAGATAATGATTATAGAAATAAAAAGTTTGTACGTGTTTATGACGCTCTGGGGATAGGGGGTGGGGGTTGGAATGCTAAAAGTTGTGTGTGTTTCGAAATATAGCGAGAGGAGTGGAGTATCTGGTAACACTGATCGGGGTGAAGCGTCGTCTCAAAGGCAAAAACAAGTTGATGTACGCGTAATGGTGGTGCTACAGGAAGGGTGAGAGGCTGCAAGAGGAGGCTGCCTTCGAGAAAAAGAGAGGAGAAAATAACCAAGTATAATAAAAATGATGAAAACAAAATGGAAGTAAGAGAGTGTGGAGACGCAATGGAACTGAAAGAAAGGATGAAAAGATTTTGTCACAACATAAAATGGAAATGTGGTAAGAGAAAGAGAGAAAGAAGATTTGAGACGATGATAACCGATAGATAACTGGAGAAAAATAGAGAGAAGATTTAGACTAAGGTAAATGAGATGACGTGTGTCAATGACCATATCACTACATTATGATCATCAACAAGAAACCACTTGTGGTCACCTGTACAGAGTTTCATATTGCTAATGATCTGTTAATTACCACTTAATTCCAGCCCCAAATTATTCTTATAATGACATTTATGCCTTCGGTCTAGCCAAGATTTATATCGAGAGTATTATCTGGGTAGTAAATTTAATAAACTAAAATATTTCACCCCAAAAATATGAATAGCGTTTGAAAAACAAATGAACGAAATAAAGCGACATGACATCTTGAAAAAGACTAATGATGATGAAAGGAAAGAGAGAAGAAGAAAGTTGGATGAACATAAGTAAAGAGAAATATGATGATGGACACCCAGGGATTAAGACGAAGCACTTGAGTTACCGCCCGACACAACCCCTGATGACCTTAACATGAGTGTTGTGGAGTCCAGCATCACTCCCCTCCTCTGATGACTTACTGCCCCGTCCACACGCCAGCCTCTGTCTCTGCCACGTCCACACGCCAGCACCTGTCTCTGCCACGTCTACACGCCAGCCTCTGTCTCTGCCACGTCCACACGCCAGCCTGTCTCTGCCGTCCACACGCCAGCACCTGTCTGCCCGTCCACCGCCAGCCTCTGTCTCCCGTCCGCCAGCCTCTGTCTCTGCCACGTTCACACGCCAGCACCTGTCTGCCGTCCACGCCAGCCTCTGTCTCTGCCACGTCCACGCCAGCACCTGTCTCTGCCACGTCCGCCAGCCTCTGTCTCTGCCGTCCACACGCCAGCCTCTGTCTCTGCCACGTTCACACGCCAGCACCTGTCTCTGCCGTTCACACGCCAGCACCTGTCTCTGCCGTCCACGCCAGCCTCTGTCTCTGCCACGTTCACACGCCAGCACCTGTCTCTGCCACGTTCACACGCCAGCACCTGTCTCTGCCGTCCACACGCCAGCACCTGTCTCTGCGTTCACGCCAGCACCTGTCTGCCGTTACGCCAGCACCTGTCTCTCCACGTCCACCGCCAGCACCTGTCTCTGCCACGTTACGCCAGCACCTGTCTCTGCCACGTTCACACGCCAGCACCTGTCTCTGCCACGTTCACGCCAGCACCTGTCTCTGCCGTTCACACGCCAGCACCTGTCTGCCACGTCCACACGCCAGCACCTGTCTCTGCCACGTTCACACGCCAGCACCTGTCTCTGCCACGTTCACACGCCAGCACCTGTCTCTGCCAGTCCACACGCCAGCACCTGTCTCTGCCACGTTCACACGCCAGCACCTGTCTCTGCCACGTTCACACGCCAGCACCTGTCTGCCACGTTCACGCGCCAGCACCTGTCTCTGCCATTGCCCACACGCCAGCACCCTCTGTCCACACGCCAGCTCTGTCTCTGCCACGTCCACGCTGTCTCTGCCCACGCCAGCACCGTCTCTGCCACGTCCACACGCGCACCTGTCTCTGCCACGTTCACAGCACCTGTCTCTGCCGTCACACGCCAGCACCTGTCTCTGCCGTGCTGCCACGTTCACACGCCAGCACCTGTCTCTGCCACGTTCACTCCGTTCTGTCCCACGTTCACGCACACTGTCTCTGCCACGTTCACACGCCAGCACCTGTCTCTGCCACGTTCACACGCCAGCACCTGTTCTGCCACGTTCCACGCCAGCACCTGTCTCTGCCACGTTCACACGCCAGCACCTGTCTCTGCCACGTTCACACGCCAGCCTCTGTCTCTGCCACGTCCACACGCCAGCACCCGTCTCGCCACGTTCACACGCCAGCACCTGTCTCTGCCACGTCCACACGCCAGCCAGCACACTGTCTCTGCCACGTTCACACGCCAGCACCTCTCCCTGCCACGTTCACACGCCAGCACCTGTCTCTGCTGCCACGTCTCACACGTCACCAGCCTCTGTCTCTGCCACGTTCACACGCCAGCACCTGTCTCTGCCACGTTCACGCCAGCACCTGTCTCTGCCACACGTCCACACGCCAGCCTCTGTCTCTGCCACGTTCACACGCCAGCACCTGTCTCTGCCACGTTCACACGCCAGCACCTGTCTCTGCCACGTCCACACGCCAGCACCTGTCTGCCACGTCCTGCCAGCGTTCACACGCCAGCACCTGTCTCTGCCACGTCCACACGCCAGCACCTGTCTCTGCCACGTTCACACGCCAGCACCTGTCTCTCGCCACGTCCACACGCCAGCGTCCACGCCAGCACCGTCTGCCACGTCCACACGCCAGCACCTGTCTCTGCCACGTTCACACGCCAGCACCTGTCTCGCCAGCACACTGTCTGCCACACGCCAGCACCTGTCTCTGCCACGTCACGCCAGCACCCTCACCACATCACGCCAGCCTCTGTCTCTGCCACGTTCACACGCCAGCACCTGTCTCTGCCACGTCCACACGCCAGCACCTGTCTCTGCCACGTCCACACGCCAGCCTCTGTCTCTGCCACACGTTCACACGCCAGCACCTGTCTCTGCCACGTCCACACGCCAGCACCTGTCTCTGCCACGTCCACACGCCAGCTAGTAAAACTGGGATATCAGATACTAATATTTCTCATTAGTGGGACTCCATACATGGTCATTGAAATATAATGACCAACCTTTAGATGATTATGTATTAAAATCTGGTCATTTCTTCTCGGCGAATCTCTCTAAATATTATGAGAAAATTAAGTTGTAAAATAAAAGGGTCCCACTAGATTTATAAGAGGCGGCACTTGAGAGTTTGTCTTACAGAACCTTGTTGACATTTACCTGAGTGTCGGGCAGCCCAGTGCCATACACTCTTGGGATGTTATTAAGTAACCAGTCTACAGTGTCTGGCAGGATATAACTACAACTAATATATCAAGAATACTGTAATAAGAGAAAAACCTCCCGGTAACCAAGCCCTGTATAATACTTACGTTCATATATAACCATAATTTGAATTCCCATCAACAGGTGTTGCTAGTAAGTAAAGGAGTGTAATATCTCCGTGTACATAATCCCTATAGAGGCCCTTTGTGTAGCGCGTGCATTCAAAATACTAAAATACTCTTAAAAACACACGGACACATAAACAAAAAATACTACATAACAAAATAATCACAGAAGAAAACGTAAAGATTGAGACAGGAGAAAAAACACTAACGAGAGGGGTGGGGTGGGTGGTAGACAGCGGTAGAAGCACGGCCGGATACCACAAATGGGTGTTGACCGCGCGTTACGGTCCACTCTTGAGCTACTAATGGTGGCAGCGTGTGGGTCGACCTCTTAAGAACCTGACGGAAGCTGTTTGTGATCATTAATTCCTCCCAACCGCGCCATCTAAGTCATGCTGCTGAATTTACTGCCCGGAGGATGCAATTATGGGGGTTTTTTTTTCCTTCAGCCAAGAGCTCTGGTGTCTCCTCTAGCCTAATGATGTTGGGGTCATCCAAGCAGTCACAACATTAAGTTATATGGTCGTACTAGGCGCTCTATCATATGTCTGATGATTCTAACAACATTGATGATAATAATAATAATAAATATATTAATCGGCAATAATAATAATAAAGTGACAAAGGAAGTCAATCGTACATTAAGAGTATATAGATGATCGCTGGTTTAAGATGGTGTGCTACAACACGGTGCCATATTCACCTCAACTTTTCATGATGTGATCGTAGGTGTGATTCATGAAGGTTTAACACGACTTATATTGATGCTCGTCAGCCAAACGAAAGTGGTTTAAAGTGGCCGCCATTGATATTTAAACCAGTTTCACCGCAGTTCAGGGACTTGAAAAAGTTTTTATTTTCGATACTTTTGTAAAGACTTGTAGAGAAATGGTGTTACTCTCGTGGAGGTGTTTTATATGTGAAATTATATAACTTTTTAGACAGAATTATTAGGGCAAAGAACATTTTTTTTCTCCATATTATCTCTACCATTTATCATGTGTTTGGTCGGTCGATCTGATCAGTCTTACTCTGTTGAACTTTTGACTTGATTTTTCAGTGTTAGTACAGGAGGAAATCAGAGTACTGTACCTAGACAATACCTTCCATGTTTGCTTGAGTCACACTGGGTTGTACTCTCCATACATACGACCCGATGGGGAGTTTGTCGTGTTAGCTTCCTTCCCGTAATATATCATAACTCTGGTACATAAACTTAACTATATTACATATTATTTAACTTCTCTCACAATAGCTTTTATAATATGTCTGTATATTATAACTTCTTCCAGACATATTTTGATGTCATCTTTAAAACAGTCTTGTAAAAATTAAAGCAGAAGTTAAGAGGAGAGTAAGTCGAGTTCTTGATAGGTTGATTTTACGTGGAATTCGTCTAATTTTCCTTAATTTTGCTGACAAGGGAAAGTTAAGAGAAAAATGAACAAAAGTTACCTCAATTCACCCCCCAAAAAATGAATGAATATAATTGTTTTATGATAGTGTAAGTGACTAAAGAAACTTACAGGAAAACACACACACACACACACACACACACACACACACACACACACACACACACACACACACACACACACACTAGACATTATGCACACGAGATCCAGTAAGCCAAAACAACATCTCACACCACCACCACCAACAGGCAACTAGTCATATACACCACACCTCCGGCAGGGCATATTTTTCATCTCCACTTCACTCTGCCTTGAGAGAGAGATAATGCGTATGCTCACACACCTCATACAGGCTCTCTGCATTTAGATTATATTCTGTTGTGGTGGAGTGTTGTTTTGTGTTTCACGATGTGGCAGTATTTTGGCACGACTGCTCTTCACTACCCGTGCCACCTCGGTATAACCTACAGTCAAGGGTGATAGGTGGTGTGGTGTGGTGTGGTGTGGTGTGCTGGGTGTGGTGTGGTGTGGTGTGGTGACTCTTTATTGAGGTGAGTTTAGACCTGTGCTTATTGAGATGTTGAATACAGACCTGTCCACAGTTAGATGCGAAAATTACTGCAAATCCTTGTGGTAAAGAGAGAGAGAGAGAGAGAGAGAGAGAGAGAGAGAGAGAGAGAGAGAG